GGAGACCCTGTGGGGCAGTTCCACTCTGTCCTCTAGGGGCGCTGTGGGTCAGAATCGACTTGACAGCAGTGTGTTTGGCCTTTGCTTCTGTAAAGATTGGCCACCTTGGAAACCCTAAGAGGCAATTCTCCCCTGTCCTGTAGGGTCTCTAAGAGTTCAGTTGAATCGACGGCTGCAGGTTTAATATTTATGGAAGCACTCTGGGTGGGTTTGAACTGCCAACCTTTAGGTTAGAAAGGGGAGTAACTCGCTTTATTGCACTTCGCAGATGGTGTGTGTTTTACAGACTGAAAGTTGTGGCTTCCCTACATTGAGCAAGTCTGTTGGGCACCGTTTTCCCAACAGCATGTGCTGTGTCCCATTTTGGTCATTGTCACAATATTGCAAATGCTTTTGCACACTTCGTAGACCCCAGTAGAGTGTAGACAGAACTCTTATACGCATGGGGAGCTAGAACATGCGTGTGACTCACTTTCTCGCGGTCTCTGCTTTCCTGTGGTGTCTGGTGCCTCATCCATAGTATCTCCGTGTTCTGCTTCTAGTCGGTACCACCCAGGCACCTCCATAGTCAGCACCTTGTGGAGGAGTCATGCCCAGTCCTTGTGGCTGAATTCTCAGTGGGCGTTGAGTGGTGGCACATGAGAGTGTCAGCCACGTGCACACATCGGCCGTCCACCAGGCCCGCCATGTCCATTCTCTGGGTCTCTCCACAGTTGGTCTTGAAACCGTTGAGCAAATAAAGCAAATGGAACAGGCGAAGACCCAGGACTTGGCCCAGCCGGGTGATTGTCCTCCATTGAAAATGACGTGGCAAACCCGGGGCCTGCAGGTTTGGGGCGCAGTCAAGCTGCAGTGGTTGTCACGTGTGGGGGCAGCCAGGAGGGTGGTCCAGGTGTGCACGCGGGTCGCAGAGGCTGGAGAGCAGATTTGGAAGAGAGTTTGATCTGCTTTCGTGAAGACCCCAGGCAGGGTGCTTGCTAGAAGGGAGCTGGGCACCAAAGGCTCAAGTGCCCCATTTTCTGGGGGGTGCAGATGAAGTGGGTCCAGACCCAGGTGGCATGTGAGCCGACTGTCGGCATAGTTGCACCCAGCTGCCTGAGGCTTCCGTGGGCCCCTGCGGTTGACTGCACACCTGTGGCATAGCCAGGCCGTCCGTTCCCAGACCACAGTCTCGCAGACCTCAGAGAGCAGACCTTGCTGCTGTCTGAGGGCAGCGCGCGCTCAGACTCTGGGCGTGTTGTATGTTGTGCGCAGAGGTCAGCTGTGGTTGTTTTTCTTCTTTCTGTGCAAAGACACCGCCACATGGCAGCTCTCATGGAGGCAGCTCCAACTCATGGCTCCCCGTGTGTTGCAGAGTCGAACTCAGCTCCGTGGGGTTAGCACGGGATGATTTTTCAGAAGTGGTGGCCAGGCCTTTCTTCCAAGGTGCCCGTGAGTGGACGGAACCCCAGCCTTTCTGGGGCAGCCGGGGGTGTTAACTGGGCCACCCAGGGAGTCATCTTTGCAGCCGCTGCCGAGATAAAGTGAAACAGCTGAGCCTGTCAGGGTCACCAGAAAAGCGTCCTGTTGGAAACTTGAACTTCTAATGAGACGTGTTTTCTCTTCCGTCTCTTTTGCTTGGTTGGCCTGTAGGTCTCCGACTGCCCCCTGAACACCATGGATGCACATCTCTTCGACTACTCGGAGCCGGGGAACTTCTCCGACATCAGCTGGCCGTGCAACAGCAGCGAGTGCATCGGCGTCGACACGGTGCTGTGCCCCGGCATGCCCAACAAGAGCGCGCTGCTGTACACGCTGTCCTTCGTGTACATCTTCATCTTCGTCATGGGCATGATCGCCAACTCCGTGGTGGTCTGGGTGAACATCCGGGCCAAAACCACGGGCTTCGACACCCACTGCTACATCCTGAACCTGGCCATCGCCGACCTGTGGGTGGTCCTCACTATCCCGGTGTGGGTGGTCAGCCTGGTGCAGCACAACCAGTGGCCCATGGGCGAGCTCACCTGCAAAGTCACACACCTCATCTTCTCCATCAACCTGTTTGGCAGCATCTTCTTCCTCACGTGCATGAGCGTGGACCGCTACCTGTCCATCACCTACTTCACCAACACCTCCGCCGCCAGGAAGAAGGCGGTGCGTCGCGTCGTCTGCGTCCTGGTGTGGCTGCTGGCCTTCTGTGTGTCCCTGCCTGACACCTACTACCTGAAGACCGTCACGTCGGCCGCCAACAACGAGACCTACTGCCGGTCCTTCTACCCCGAGCACAGCATCAGGGAGTGGCTGATCGGCATGGAGCTGGTGTCCGTGGTCTTGGGGTTCGCCATCCCCTTCTCCATCATAGCTGTCTTCTACTTCCTCCTCGCCAGGGCCATGTCGGCCTCGAGCGACCAGGAGAAGCACAGTAGCCGGAAGATCATCTTCTCCTACGTGGTGGTCTTCCTCATCTGCTGGCTCCCCTACCACGCCGTGGTGCTCCTGGACATCTTCTCCATCCTGCACTACGTCCCTTTCACCTGCCAGCTGGAGAACTTCCTCTTCACGGCCCTGCACGTCACTCAGTGCCTGTCCCTGGTGCACTGCTGTGTCAACCCCGTGCTCTACAGCTTCATCAACCGTAACTACCGCTATGAGCTCATGAAGGCCTTCATCTTCAAGTACTCGGCCAAAACCGGCCTCACCAAGCTCATTGATGCCTCCAGGGTGTCCGAGACAGAGTACTCTGTATTGGAGCAGAGCACCAAATGATGGGCACGACCCGGCCCTGGGGTCCCTGTACTTGTTCTCTTCAAGAGGGAAGCCAAGTGGCTTCGGGTCTTGACACTCAAGAAGTTGAAGAGGGAACACGTGTTGTTGTGTGTCCTTACAGTCGTGCTTCTGTGTGCCAGGACGGTGGTTTCAGAGCCATGCGTTCTGACAGTTTTGCATCCTGTAGGGCTGTGCTGGGCTGCCTGGGCCACGTGTCAAAGCCAGTTTCAGGACCGGCCTGCCTGGCTTTTGTACAATAGGTCTCTCTGAGCCCCGTGTATTTCTTTGTATGTGATGATTTGTATTTAAAGGCTAAGACTTTATTTTCTCACTATCGGTATACCTTCTAGATGGCTTTGAAAGTGAAATATACTTTAAATATTGTCACAAGGTGAAATGCCGACGTATTCAGAGTGCTGTAGTTGTAAGGTTAGTTTGCCTGGTTTGGACTAAGGATGACATTAAATGTTAGCTGTTTTGAAATTATGCATATATATATAGATAAATATATATATATATATATAAATATGTGCCAGTCTTGGCCGAAATGTTTTATTTACGATAGTTTTCTATCTGTGCAGGGCTTTGTGCCGGCATGGAAAGGGAACGGACACTGCAGTTTGTGACATTTGTAGTATTGTAAAGTGATGTTAATACGCAAACACAAACAAGGCTGTTCAGGTTGCAGCTTTGTGCACTAAACGAGCAGTCCTATCTCAGAGAGGTCTCTCAATTTGTAAGTTATTTTTTGTAATAAAGTTTTTTTTTCCTAAAAAGGCGTTTGAGTCTCAGTTACAAAAGCCTGTTTTGGCATGTTGGTGTAGTAACACATAGATGTGCACAGCATTTAGGAAAACCACCTGCTCCCTGGTCGATTCTGGCTCATGATGACCCCACGGGTGGGAGCTGTAACTGTGCCCTTAGGGTTTTCTCATGGCAGATTGTTAGTAGATTGCCAGGCTGCCAACCTTTGGTTAACAGCCGAACACGTTAACTGTTAACTGTACCACCCAGAGACTCTAAACCACTGCCGACCCACAGCGCCCCTAGGGGACAGAGTGGAACTGCCCACAGGGTCTCCAAGGCTGTCAGTCTTCACAGAAGCAAAGCCCAAACCACACCCACTGCCTGGAGTCCATTCTGACCCACAG